GATCTCGGCTTACTGCAGCCTCCGTCCCCTGAGTTCGAGCAATTCTCCTGCCTCAGCCTCCTGAGTAGCTGGGACTACAGGCGTGTGCCACCATGCCCAGCTAATTTTTGTATTTTTAGTATAGATGGGGTTTTACCATGTTGGTCAAGATGGTCTTGATCTCCTGACCTCATGATCTGCCTACCTCATCCTCCCAAATTGCTGGGATTACTGGCGTGAGTCACTACGCCCAGCCAGGATTCACTTTGGTATAGTTTTATAGTTTGGGGAACTGAGGTACAGAAAAGTTATATGCCTTGTGATGGATAGACTTGTTTCTGGGATCAAAGAATTTCTTTCTTTGTGACTGGAAAAGGTTGACTGGGTGATGTTGTTTAGACATCAAACAATTAGAATTTTGGGGACTACAAGACAGGATTTTTTTTTTTAATGAAGTTTTCTCCTCTACCCTTCTTCTGTCCCTGGCCACTCTGGTTCTCAGTTACCTACATTTTGTCCCCAGGTTCCCAGGGACCTTCTCGCGAGTCCACAAGCAACGGCAGACACAGTGCCTCATCACCCAAAGCCCCCGACCCTGAGGGGCTGGCCAGGCCCGTCTCTCCTGATAGCCCAGAGATCATCAGTGAGCTTCAGCAGTATGCAGATGTGGCTGCTGCCCGGGAATCCCGTCAGAGCTCCCCAAGCATCAGTGCCGCCCTGCCTGGCCAACCAGCCCAACTTGTGGATAGCAGTGCTATTCCTGGGACAGCTCTTGGAACTGAGCCTCGACTAGGGGGTCCTTGCCTCAATAGTTCCCTCTTGGTGACTGGCCAGCCCTGTGGTGATAGGCACCCAGTGCTGGACTTAAGGGGCCACAAGCGAAAGTTGGCTACACCACCTGCTGCCCAGGAGTCATCCCGCCGGCGGTCCAGGAAGGGTCATCTGCCAGCCCCCGTGCAGCCGTATGAACATGGGTATCCAGTGTCTGGCGGGTTTGCCATGCCACCCGTCTCCTTAAACCATAACCTCACCACTCCCTTCACCTCCCAGGCTGGGGAGAACTCCCTGTTTATGGGCAGTACCCCCTCCTACTACCAGCTGTCCAATTTGCTGGCAGATGCCCGCCTGGTGTTTCCAGTGACTACTGACCCTCTGGTGCCAGCAGGCCCCGTCAGTTCCTCTTCCACGGCTACCTCAGTCACTGCCAGCAACCCCTCCTTCATGCTCAACCCTTCTGTGCCAGGGATACTACCCAGCTATTCACTCCCATTCTCACAGCCACTCCTGTCCGAGCCGAGGATGTTTGCGCCTTTTCCTTCCCCTGTCTTGCCCAGCAACCTTTCGCGGGGCATGTCTATCTATCCAGGCTACATGTCCCCACATGCAGGCTACCCAGCTGGTGGCCTCCTTCGGTCCCAGGTGCCTCCATTTGACTCTCATGAGGTTGCTGAGGTGGGGTTCAGCTCCAATGATGATGAGGATAAGGACGATGATGTGATAGAGGTCACTGGGAAATAGCTGGGGAGCCCCTTCCCACCTCATTCGGGGCCCCCAGCAGGTTGCCCACCAAGCTGGAAGGCAGTAATTTGGACTTTTTGAGAAAAGGACACTTGGCAGGAGGGAAAAGGAAGAGAACAAAGGAGGGTGGTTAGCCATAAGGGCAGAGCTCTGTTGCTGTTTAACAAAAGAGGCAAAAAAAAAAGTCCAACAGAGCAGCAATAGCGGGAAATCAGGGACCCAAAACAGGGATGGAGGGACAGTGCAGCCTCTTTTCCTTCCTGCCTTGCTTATGCTGTCTGCTTGCTTACTCGCCCATCTGAGTGTAGAAGTGCACATCCCATTTCTGTCTTTGGGAACTTTCTCTCCCAAGAGAGCTGCCTTACTGGGTGACTTAGCTTGGCCTGGGGAGGGTAGGGAAGGGAGGGAGAATGAGTGAGAAAAGGAGGTGGGCAGGGGAGCAGACTGTGATCCCATGTGAAGTGGGGTTTTTAGGGGGTGGGAAGGAAGCTGACCAGGTATGTGTGTTTGTGAGTATGTATGTATGTTTATGTATGTATGTACACATATGGAACAGAGCAGGGGTGAAGGTGGGAGGGGAGGGAGGGAGGGAAGAACTAAGAGGGAAACTGAAAAATGAATTTATCTTTCTTTAAATGGAAATCAGAGTTTGGTGGTTCATGGCACCTATTAGTGTGAACATCAGGGTGAGCCCAGAAGAGCCATGGAAATCACAAGTTTCCTTCTGGTTGGGTGAAGAGAAGGCCCCACTAACTCAAGTCCCTGATTTTCAGAGCCACATTTGTTTGAGAATTTGGGGGAATTCATGAGAGAAAATGGGCATTACCAATCTATGTCTCTTAACCCTGGTGGTTATCTCTGAGTAGCTCTCCCTTTCCAGCACGGAAGGTTGTCTGCGTGCAGAGGCTGGGAGGGAGAAGCACTGCAGTATGTAAGTGAAAGCTGTGGCTGGAAAAGACATTTCTCACGGGTAGAACTGAGCCCCCAGCTGCCTATCCTGGTAGTCTCTCCTGTTCCTTTCCTTCCCCTTTAGAGAGCTCCATGTTAATTTATTTCTTATGGGCAACTATTTATTACTTGGACTTTTCATACGTCTTGTTTATTTAGGGGTGGGGTAGGGGGAGGTTACGGGTAAGGAAAGTTAGAGGTAGGGAAGTTTTAAGATATTCCAGACCCCATAGCCACTGGTGAAACAATCCTGGATGGATGGTTAATTGACCAGGGAAGGAGTTAGTTTTGACCAAGATTTGGATTAAACTATTTTCAAGAGATGGCTTTTCAGGAAGATCAGGGAATCCTGAGACTGGATAGTTAGTAGAGGGTGAGACTCGTTCCACAGAAATTGAAAGTTGTGATCATGGAGTTTGTAATTGGGAAGTAAGAAATCCCCGATTTGGAGCTGTGTCCTGGGATGACCTTAGAGGCTGGCTCTCTATGCTGAACAGTGAAGCTGTGGATAGGTGGTTGCTGGGTTGAGGGACTATAGATTTCTTGTTAGGAAATATTTTTAGGTGCTCCATGTAGGCCTGGTGTCTGCTGCCTCCATCTCTGAGGGAACATGGAGGAGCCCTTTTGTGTGTAGGAGCCCTAAGTCTGGACTTTTTCTTAAAAGAGCACGCCAGTGACACGGTGGCTCACACCTGTAATCCCAGCACTTTGGGAGGCCGAGGCGGGTGGATCACGAGGTCAGGAGATCAAGACCATCCTGGCTAATATGGTGAAACCCCATCTCCATTAAAAATACAAAAAATTAGCCGGGCGTGGTGGCACCCGCCTGTAGCCAGAGCTACTTGGGAGGCTGAGGCCAGAGAATCGCTTGAACCTGGGAGGTGGAGGTTGCAGTGAGCCGAGATCACGCTACTGCACTCTAGCCTGGGCGACAGAGACTACGTCTCAAAAATAAAACAAAAAAACACACCAGTCATTCTGGGTCTCCCCTTATTGCCAATGCCAGGGGAGGGTCATCTAGTCCTTAAGGCTAAACGCTGGCTGTCTTCCTATTTGTGTCCTTAACCCCTCTGCATCCCCCAGCCCAAGACTTTTCCAGACAGTTCTTTATAATGAACAAACTTTGGCTTTAGAGCTTTACCACCTACCCATGGCTCCCTCCTTACTGGGCAGGTGCTGTACCTGCCTCTTCCCAGCCCAGAAGGCAGCTTAGTCAGATCATCCCAGTAGGAGCTTCTGCAGCTCTTCTGACCAGCCTGTTTCCATCTTTGGAGGCCCTTAGCAGACTCTGGGGTATTGCCTCAGTGAAGAGACAAGGAGATGTTGGATGGGGTGCATGTGTATATGTGTGTTTGTCTGCTGTCCAATAACACCAAAAGTGGAACTTAAGAAGCTTTGTGTTTTCATAAGCACCCTGCCAGACACTTAACTCTTCTACTCATGGAAGCCTTAGATCTACAATTTAGCTATGCAAATTATATTAATAATTTAAAAATAGCAGTTCCAACCAGTGCTTTCTCTTTCAGATGCATCCCAAGAATGGATGGTGAAGGGACTTAGTTGGAGTGGGCTCTCAGGTTGAGGCTGGTGCAGTAAGAGTCAGCTAGACTGAATCTCCAGTTTATAGGATACACCCAGAAACTGGGTTATACTGATGCCTCTTAGGCCCTGGAGCACTGGGATCCCAGAGATGCGTGCGTGCGTGCGTGTGTGCGTGCATGTGTTGGTGGTGGTGGTGGTGGTGGTGAAGGGGGTATTTCTATATTCACTTCTAGGAAATCACTGTAGCAGCCTCCAAGAATCCAGGAACCTTCCCAGCAGGGAACTGAAACCAGTTGCTGGAGGGTTGGGCTTTTGAAGCTGCCAGAAAGTAAATGGGTATTCTGAGAGGCAGCACATGCCTACGCTACCCAGTGTTCCAGGGCTGGGTCTTGCTTCTACTCAGCAGAGGCCATCATTCTGGGAGGCTGACCTGACTAGAGAAGGCTTTCTCTTACATGTGCAGTTTCTATTGTGTAGAGGGGTGGGGGTGGGATCATGGGAAATTGGAGTGCTACCAGGTCCATGGTTTTTGATTTTTTTTTTAAAGAAAAGAACCTGAAAACATTCTGACTTTTCCACTGTCTCTTTATGTGTGCTGGTAGGCAAATGTGCATGATCATGTTTGAGAGGGAAGAAGGAAGTATCTCACAGCCTAAGAACCATGTTTTAGTTTATTTGATCATAAACACTTGGTGGTAACCACCCACCATCCAGGCCTGAGTAGGGGAGGGCTGGTGATAAGAGGGAGGACAGAAAATCAGGCCTAGGCATTTTCCCTTACTATTGTCTTCCATGGAATGTTTTCATCCATCTGGTTTAGCCAAGTTCTCAGCCTGGGGAACACAGTACTACTTAATGATTCAGGTTTACCATTTATAGTGATGCTTGATTTTCTTAATATATATGTAGATAAAATTGAACAGGGACAAAGTAGCTATTTAAGAAAGGAAGTGAACCATGTTGGGTTATATCATTTTCTTTAGGTTGGATATCTATGAAATCCACACTGCTTTGAGTTATGCGCCTTAAGCATCTATTTCATCATCTCCTGATTAAGGATAATTCTATCTGGTCCTTGGAGCTCTCTTCCCTAGGAATTAGTGTGTGAAGTCTCTATATACCTGTGATTCACAACTAAATATGAACTTTCTCAATCCAGAAGCAGGAAGCAAAGTGCAGGGTAAAGTTTTGCACATTGGTTGAAACACTTAGCCAAACTTAAGTGGCTTGGGTCACTCCCAAAGTTGTCAGCAGAGAAGGGCCCTCCGTGTCAGTCTATTCAAGCCTGGCATTGCTCTGAAACTGAGTCCTTATCAGTTTCAGAGCAATGCTAGGCTTGAATAGACTGACAGAGTCTTCTGTGGAGAAGGTCTTCTGGGGGCTTTACATTCCTCTGGATACGACCTCCTGCTTCCCACTTCATTTTTTTTTTTTTTTTTTTTTGAGACAGAGTCTTGCCCTGTCCCCCAGGCTGGTGTGCAGTGGCGTGATTTCAGCTCCCTGCAGCCTCCACCTCCTGGGTTCAAGTTATCCTTCTGCCTCAGCCTCTCAAGTAGCTGGGATTACAGGCGCACATGACCATGCTCAGCTAGTTTTTGTATTTTTTAGTAGAGATGGGGTTTCACCATGTTGGCCAGGCTGGTCTTGAACTCATGACCTCAAGTGATCTGCCCGCCTCGGCCTCCCGAAGTGTTGGGGTTACAGGTGTGAGCCACCGCGCCCAGCCTCCACTTCCTTTTGATTCCTCAGAAGACCAGTCTTTCCCTTCTGAGCCATGGCTTTCTTTGCACACAGCTCAGTGACTCTTTCCCCACCAAAATTCCTAAGAGAAGTCATCCTTCCCCAAAAGGACCCCCACAAGATGTTCTGGCCCTCTGCTGACTGCTCCCAGGAATCAGCACCTCAAGGACTATATGAGAATGCTGCGCTCTCCATTGGTCACCTTCAGACTGCATTCCCTGCTGCCAACTCTTCTCTTCTGCTCTGTGTATTCTGTGACCCCCTTAACATCTGTTCTGTGCTACTAGCTTGGCCCTAGGCCTTTTATGAATACCTGAGTCTTACAACGATGAACTTCTTGAGCAGGCAGTGTCCAACTTCTTTGCTCTTCAGGGACCTGAGTGTGCACCTTTCCCTTTCGCAGGTCTGTTTAACATAGTAATCTAGTGCGCATTGGGGAGGGGTAGCCAGGCAGGCTGCAGCGTCTGCAATGCAGAGGGCTTGGGGAGGTTTGGGTACTCTCTGCTGCCACTACTGGGATGATATTCAGAAGAGAGAGGACCTCATACTGTGACTGGACCCAGGACCCTCCCTGGAAGAGAGCTGTGTGTGTGTGTGTGTGTGTGTGAAAGAGAGACAGTGACAGTGAGTATGTGTATGCTGTGCTCATGTGCACTTGGATGTAAAATGACTGTTATCTGGTTGCGTTACTCAGGGTGGGCTGGGGACTCACCGGAAGAATCCCCCCCAGCCTGCCCAAGACAGGTTTTTCCCTTGTACCAACTACAGAGAGGTCAGGGGAAGAGGGTCCAGGTGGGTTAAGGGGGGTCGCTATGGATAACCACTAAGGCCAGACTGCTGCCAGGAGGAGTGGGGGATAATGAGGTGGCCCCAGGGTCCTGGCACCTGGCTTTGGTTTTCCGTCTTCTTTCCTCAGGATGCCCCTGAGGCCTGAGACCTGTGCCTGACTTTGAGGAGCATCTGTGGCTGGGTGATCCAGCTGCTGGTGTGATCATGGGCTTCCCTCCTCTCAGCAGGGCAGGCGCTCCTGCCCCAGAGACTGGGCAACTGGCTGTTTCTATGACGTATTTATTTTTACTTGTGTTTCATGTCACTTTTTTAAAAAAAAAAAGCAAACAGAACAATTGTAAGTCAGTATCTAACTGCCTATCAGTTTTCTTTATTTCTCTTTTTGTAAAATAAAATTTAAACTCAAGAAGGCAGTGTTGTTTGATCAAGGAATTGTCTGGATAGCTGTTTGGCTGGGTGGTGGTGAAAGGAATAAATCTTAGAACATAGTGGGCTCTGGGATGGCCCTTGGGTGGAGAGATAGACAGGAACAGAAGACTGCTGGCAGGCTCTTTGTAGCAGGGGGGTTCATTGGGTTTTTTCTGCCCTTGTTCACCTGAAGAGGGATGTATTACCACGCTCCAGGTGAAACAGCAAGCTGATTTCAGAGTGGCTTGAAGCTAGCTGGTCCTCAGCCAAGGTGAGTTCTGCAAGGGCAGCCCTGACTAGACTGAGTGGCTGGGGATTGGGCACAATGCCTTCGGAGGGTGGGAGATGGTGTGTTTGTGAGTGGCTGGGGATTGGGTACAGTGTCTTCAGAGGGTGGGAGATAGTGTGTCTGTGAGTGGCTGGGGATTGGGTACAGTGTCTTTAGAGGGTGGGACATGGTGTGTCTGTGAGTGGCTGGGGATTGGGTACAGTGTCTAGAGGGTGGGACACGGTGTGTCTGTGAGTGGCTGGGGATTGGG